AGAGGGATTATGTAAAGGTGCAAATTTCCAATGATGAATGTCATTATATTGTATACCTAAAATGTACCAATAAAAGGATATACAGAAAAAAAATCGAAAGAGGAAGACTATTTTGTGATATGTGGGCATTATATGAAGCTCAAGTTTTAATGTCTGTACACAACACTTGGTTGGAACAGAACAGAACCAGGCCCAAGTTAAGCAGCTGAGACAGAGACCAGATGATTTAAAAAGCCTGAAATATTTCCTGTCTGGCCCTTTACACAAGAAGTGTGCCTGTCTACATCACAGGAATCGCATCGTGGTGATGAAGAGGTGGGAATACACGGCAGATCCTGGAAGAAGTCTGATCAGGAGGGTGGGTGATGAGCCCTTTGAAGATTCGAGCCTTGTCACAACACTGAAGGTCTTGGGGATCCACTGGTTAGTGGAATGCTGAGACATCTCAGCAAATTGCAAACATACACACAGACACACAATTTAATGCATCTTGCTTTTCCTACCACAGAGGAGGAAACTCATCACCTGTTAGGGCACTTTGGTCTCCAGAGGCAGCACATTCCACAGTGAGGAATACCATTCAGGCTACCACAAAAAGCTGCCAGCTGTGAGAGGTACCAGCCGGGCACAGGAAAAGACTTCTCAGCAGGCCCAGGGCGCAACGCAAGCTGCCAGGCCAGCTGGGCCACTGGACCAAGCAGACCCTACAGCTCAGAGGCACAGGTGGTGGACCGGTGTCGTGTTGGATTTATGCTAAGCTCCAAAGTGGAGAATCATGGCACAGACCCTGGAATTCCGGAGCAAAGCCAGGCTATATGTAGTGGGGATTCATTCACCATATTAAAAACCGCTCAGGGGAATGGGGGAAAAATAAGAATCAAGACAGATTTTGTAAAGGTGCAAATTTCCAATGATGAATGTCATTATACTGTATACCTAAAATGCACCAATAAAATTAATTTTAAAATAAAAATAAAAACCGCTCCTGGCAAGCTCCTGAACCCTGATGGAGAAGAAACAATTGAACAAGGGATGCCAGGTGAGTGAATATCCACAACTATCAGTCATGAGCTTGTGTATCAGATCTAACAAGGCAGGAGGTCTGGCAGGTCCAGCAGCATCCACTGTAAGATGGAAATGGTAGATATGAGATTGGACTGGAGCAGGAGCAGAGGGCACAAGTCAGCTGCATACCCAGGTGGCCCACACCCCCCTCACCCTTCATGGTTGCACCACAGCCCTGTGGCTCAGCAGGTGTCCCCAATGACCAACTGAAGGATGAAGAAATAGCCTGAGGACAGTTTATAGAACATGTGGCTTGGTTTACAGGTTCAGGCTAAAAATGAACAGCAGCCACTTTTCAGTCACATTCAAAGGTGACTTTGGAAGGCAGTGAGGAAAAGTCTTTCAAATGGGCAGAGCTTCAAGTGATATACTCAGTTATGTGCTTTTTGCAGAAGGAAGAGTGGCCCCTGGAGCATCAGCCAGCACCATTACCTAGGGGGTATCAGTGTGCTTGATCCTCAGGTGTGGACTCAGTTCATAGGCACTGGTCACACCGCGTATCCTACCATCCGGGCCAGGCACCCTGATGAGGCTGGAATGGCACCAGTCTGGAGGCAAGCATCAGAGAATGGAGTGCCACCCTCCAGGAGGCAATGGAGCACTGCTCAGAGATTTCTGGGTGACTGTCCCAGGAGAAAAACATCCGGGTCTGGCAATCACTGCAGAAGTGGGTTGGCCCACTTAGCATCCTTTCTAACTGCCCACCAAGGACTCTATGCTTCCTGTCTTCACAGTGCAGTGTACGATCGCCGAGGCACACAGCAAATGTCCAACTGAACTAAAAGTTAAGACTGCTACTTGAGCACTTGGTGCTCCGTGTGCCCAACGACCAGCAGGCAAGACAACATTTTGGGAGGGCAACTGACTCACCCCAGCAGGAGAAGGTACAAGAGCTGTTGCCCAGTGAACACATGGGGAATCCAGGTGTTCTGGGTCCCCCCTCAGCCATGGTTCACTGTGACCAGGCCAGGTAGCCCCAGGATATGGTGATCAGAGCCTCAGACGCTTCGGGAATGAGGGTTTCTGTCACACAACCAGATAAGGCCCTGAGACCAGCAGAAATGACAGGGGAGGTCCACCAAGTAAACGCTTGTGTACAGGAGGAAGGCTGAGAGGGAAAGAGGAAGGAAGCGCCCAGGGCAGGGCCTGGCTCCCCCGAATCCTCCGTGGTGCTGCTCACAGTGCCTGAGCAACAGGCTCTCAGTAAGGCGCCCAATGGGTTGTTCTCATTTTTTACTTTACAAGAGCATGTTGCATGTTCCAACATCCCACGCTCGGCTTGAACTTTCTGGACGAAGTGTTTCCGAGCTCATCAAAGAGCCAGCACCCCTCACGCTCAGGGGACACCGAGCCCTCCCAGCCCGGCAGGGGCCCCTGCGTCACTGCGCCCCGCAGCCGCAGCCGGACGCAGCCGGACGCGCCCGGACCGCTCACCGCCTCTTGGCTTCCACGCGCGCGGCGATGCGGAGGCGCCGGGCCTGGATCCGCTCCTGCGGGTCGTCAGAATGGACCGAGGGCCCGTGAATCGGGGTGAGTAAGGGTTCGTCCGCTTTATGCTCCAGCACCCCCATGGACCCCGGCGGATTCATGGCTGGAGCCTCTCGCTCCGCCCGCCGCTCCCCTGGGACCGCTGCGCTGTAGCTGAGAACGAGCCGTTGCCAGGGAAACGCAGTCAGTTGACTGCAGCCGCGCGGTTCCGCCCTCTTCAGGCCCCGCACGGCGCTGCTCAGAGCTTTGCCTTCAGCCTCGGGCAGTTAGGATCCCGGGAGTTAGGACGCGAGGCCTGCCCTGACCCCCACAAAGCCTAGTCCTGAGCAGAGGCTGGATTCTCACCACGAGACTAGAACCAGAGCTGGCCCAAGTCGTGGTTCATCACTTACTAATACGAACGATGAATTCATTTTTCATCCAATGAAAATGCCTAAAAATCACATCCATCAAGTACAATCGAGTGCCCACTCTATGAGAAGCCCTGTGTTACAGTAAGGATGCTGCTGGTGCCGTTTCCTCGTGAAGGTACAGAACCATACATAGGTCCGCCCGGCTCCTCCGGCCTCTTTGGAGATATGGACTACGGTGTATGGCATCCGCCCGGTCATCCTCGGTTTTGAGCTTCTACTCGAGGTTTCTGGCCTGTCTCCTCCAGGATGTGAAACTTGCCATCCATGAGTTTATATCCAGGGACTGTTTGTTGTCTTCTCGTCGCTGTTTCCGGTGGGGCTGAAACCTAAAGCAATCCCTCCATCCCACCTACAATCAGAGTTGAAAGAGCAAAGGGAGCCGAGGAAAAGGGTATGGGGTAGGGGTCAGGAGTACCGAGTAAACTCTCAAAGACCACTGTCTCCAGAGAGACACTGTTTCCCGGACGTGTTTCTTTCTTTTGTTTTGTTGCTTTTTGAGACAGGATCTCAATACGAAGTCCAAGCTGGTCATGACCTCTACTAATTTTGAATTTGAGATTATCTTGCCTCGGCCTCTTGAGTTCCGGGGATCACAGGAATGCGTCACCACACTCAGCTTCCTGGACGTTTTTATGCCTCATCGTCAACAAAAATACTGTTCGTTCAGTTAACCCTTTAAGCCAGGCCTGGTAGAGTTTGTAATCCCAGCACTCTGGAAGGCTGAGAAGTGCAAGTTTGAGCACAGCCAACTTAATAAGACTGTCTCAAAATTAAAAATAATAAGAAAAAAGGGTGGGACTGTATTCAGTGTGAAGGCAGCGGGTTCAATCCCCAGTACTGCAAAAAAAGTAAACAAATCCCTTTAAAACCAAACCAGAAGGGCTGGGGATGCGACTCAACAGTGAAGGGCCTGCCTAGCATGCACGGGACAAGCCAACAAAAAAGGAAAGAAAAGGAAAAAAAACCTAGATGACGTTTGGCAGGGCCTTAGCCCCTCAGAAATGGAGGAAAGGGCAGTGGATGAGCGACAAATTGCAGGTGCTCCTCCTAGTCCTTTCTTGTCACTTGGGCCAAGTAACAACTTCTTGAAGACTGTTTTCTCAGCCATTAAGTGGTACTGTCTATTCAACTCATAATCAGGCCAAGAGAAGCCCTTTATGAATAAGACCTACTCAAGGGCAAATGGAGGACATTAATTTTTTTTAAGTGTGCAAGTGGTAGAGAACATACAACAGCCTAAAAGTCCAATTGCTGCCTGAATCCTGTCCTAAGCCTGGCTTGGGGGTCGAGGTGAGGAAAGAGTTGCTTCTTGGCTTTAGAGTCCTCTGCTGAATCTCTCCTTTGGTTGTACACAACATTCAACTCCCCAGAGGTCACAGAGTCGGAGGGGCCAGGTATCACTCTGACCGTAACTGTGCCAGGCCCTGGTCCACCTTTCCACTGTCCATAACGAGAGAGGACACAGGCACACGCATGCGCACACTATGCTGGGAGTGGGACACCACAGGCAGGTCAGTGGGAATCAGCTGCCATCAGAGGTGAGAACACAGAGGCACCACCAAAAGGCTTGAAGGGTGCCAGCGGGTAACCCGAGGGAGGCCCCAGGTGCTGTAGTCCAGGCGTCTATTATAAGGAATATGGTGCAGTTTTGGCTGTTTGGCTGTTGGTGGCTTTTAGCCTCACTCACTTTCTTCTCCACATCTGGACAGATGTTTTTTGTCTTAAAGAGCTGGGGTGTAGCTCAGTGGTAGAGCACTTGCCAGGGGTTCAATCCCTGGCACCAGGAAAAAGTCTAAGTCCTTTATCAGAGGGAGGCACTAGGGATGGAACCTAGGTTTTCAAACGGAGCTAATTCCCAGTCCTTTTTTACTGGAAACTTGCATAATTTTTGCATAACCTTTACGTAATCTCTCTTGGTTTATTTTTTCCCCCTTCCCCTGCCCTCCCTTCAACCCCTCCATCCCTCCCTATTTACAAAGACTCTGTTCCTATTTTTTCATGTTCTCATATTAATTCCATTCCCTTCTTTCCTTTCCCCTACCCCTCCCAATTCCCCTTCCCTTTGCCCCTTTTCTTCCCATTTCACGTTATCTATTAGACCTTTTAGTCCTTATTTACACTTTCAGTTTCTCACACCAGAGAAGCTATTCGGTATCTACACGTGTGTCCTGTTTATTCCAGTCCTTTTTAAAACTTGAGACATGGTTTGCTATGTTGCCCAGGTGAGCTCGAATTTATGATCCTCCCATCTCAGCCTCTTAGAGTGCTGAGTACAGATCTAAGCCACTATGCTTTGCTCCTAGGTGCTCTTTCCTGACAGATTTCTACCCTGTGAGCAGGTAGCTCACCTACATCCACTGGGTAACCACAATAAAAACCACAGGGTAGTCTCCTCTGCTGGCTCTCTTGGGCCATTTTCTGAACAGCAGGGAGCCCTTCCCTGCTCTCATAGATAGCTTCGATTATGGATAGTTGTAGAAAACACTCATTCACCACTAGAAGGGCACCTCTTAGGACAGTCTGCTACCACCTATTAACAATTTAGATTACCATGTGCACTGACCTGGCAATTTGACTTAGAATTATCCCAGTGAGATAGGTTATAGCTCTTCAGAGTTGGAATTATATCAGTTTTATTCAGCACTGTGCACAAAACACTGCATACAATCCCTTGTATGTAGTAATTGCCCAACATTTGTTGAAAGAAATGTACACAGACATAACTGTATGCTTACTCCAGTTACTTATATTTAAAAACTGGCTAGGGCAATCTTAAGGCACTCGTGGAATGAAATACAATTTATGAATAAATCTGACACAGGAAGACACCCAAGATATATTGAGAAACGGAAGATGACGTACAAGAGGGAAAGTGTGACTCACTTTATTTGAAATATAAATATAATGTACATAAGAAAAAGAGGGGGAAGACCAAGATAATTCATTTCTCAGGAACCTGGCTTAAGTTCATGACTGACTTTCACATTTTCTATTCTTAACATAAATCATCTTTTGATTTAATAAAAAATGTTTGCTTGCATGGGTTTTTGTTTTGAGATGGTGTCTCACTAAGCAGCCCACACTAGCCTTGAATTTGTAATCCCAGCCTTCCCAGTGTTAGGATTATAGGTATGCGCCACATCTGGTTCAATTTTGCAACATGAAAGGTAAGAGGAGACCTGACGCAGGCAAGCATTGAGCTGCCACCGCTGAGGAACCCAAGGAAGATATGTAGGGGATGTTCACCCTGATGACTGAGCAGCATCGAGTCCACTCCTCAAATGGTATGCAATACTCTAGACCTGCGTTGAGAACAGACTTATACTAATAAATTCACAGAAAAAAATACATAGGGAATTCATTAATTTTAGCAAGAAACTACAACCATCACTAAGGGCAGTGTTCGTGCCTTTTGACCAACACATTTCTGAATTGAGCTGCCAAGGAAATCAAACTATAACTGGTTCCTAAATAGGAAGGAATGATCGTGGTGAGTTCAGTAGCCGTGGGGATAACTTGATACAAAGAATAAATAAATGGTTTGAGTCCTTGGGTAATGGCACTCCCTCCCTGAGCAGGTTTGCAGTGATAAATTTAAAAAGTACATTGATTAGATTTTACCTAACAAGTCACACTTAATTCTACATCCATTAGTTTATAATAAATCACCCTAACTGGTGTTTGGGGATGTTGGAAAATTCATCAAGCATTTAGGTAACTTCTTGGTCTATTCCCATCTCTCAATTTGTGTGAATGTTATCAGTCTCAGAAGGCAAACTTGTTTTATTCAATTTTAGTTGTCTTTGGAACTGTCTCACCATTTTCAAAAAGGAGGAAACAGAAGGCAGGGGAGTCAGGAGTTGTGCCTTATGGCTTTTAAAAAGTTCAAAATGACACAATATAATAGCATTCATCATTGGAAATTTGCACCTTTACATAATCTCTCTTGGTTCTTTTCATCCTTGCCCAGCCCTCCCTTCAACCCCTCCATCCCTATTTACAAAGATTTTGTTCCTATTTTCCATTTTCTCATATTAATTCCATTCCCTTCTTTCCTTTCCCCTACCCCTCCCACTTCTTTC